AGGCCAGGTGCCCCGGAGCCTCCACGCCGGGGTTGGACACAGGAGGAAAGCCATCCAAGGCACCAGGACGGGAGGGCTCTGTCAGGTGGGGTCTGTAAACAGAAGGCGAGGGGGCGCAGGGGCGAGGAACCAGAACATTTCAAATGAACGCACGCAGGGTGCCAAAAAACAGGCTCGGCAGCGACCCCAGTCCCCACCCAGGGACTTTCCAGCTTAAACGGGCGGAATGCGACGAGGAAAAACGACACCTCGTCTGCGCCGCAGGAAGGCGTGACCACACAGAGAACAGCAATCCCTGTGTGACTCGGGTTGTTTTTTAAAGACCTGGGGGGAAAGGCTTTATTGAAAGGTGTGTTGGGGGGATGAGGGAGTGAGAATATAATTATAATTAAAGTCAGTCTTCCAAAAGCGTCAGCCGCGGGCCAGGCGGTCTGGAAGCGCTGCCCCCGACGTGAACTGCCCGAGCCCTCGCAAGGATTCCACCATGGACGGACCGTTATTAACCGTCGTCTACAGGTAAGCAGGCCGAGACGCAGGAATGAGGCCTCGCCTGGAATCATCCACAGCGGCTGGGCTTCGAAACAAGGCGCCTGGAGGGAGGCAAGTTCTTTGAAAGGGTCATACATCTACCCAGGACCCTGCTGTCTTGCACAAAACCCAGAAAAATAAAAGTGATGGAGCGAGACGGGCAGAGGAACCAATTACACATCCAAGAGGAAGACTTACACGAGCTTCAACGAGAACGTCCCGAACGACGGGATGCGTGGGAAGGAGCGAGCTCACAGGGCAGCGTGCCTCAGGACACCCTTCACGGGGCCGGGGCACCCGGCCTCGCTGGGCGGCGTGACCGAGGCCCTTCGGGCTCGGAAGGGGCAGCGGAGAAACGCGCCCGGGCCCCGAGGAGTCGCCCCAGCTTTGCTCAGGGGAGACCCTGGGCACAGAAGAGCCTGCCCCTCGGGTCAGGCCTGCGCCGGTGCCGACACCAGGGTCGCCGCCACCACCACGTTCCGGCACGCAGCTTGGCACACGCTTCGCCGCACTCCGTGAATGCCCGAGGGGTGGGCGAATTAGGGAGAACGGGAGAGTGGGACCAGGGCCAGCTGTGGAAGGTTCCAGACCATCTGGAACGCTGGGGGTGGGACTCTGACTCGGGAGGCAGCCCGGAAGACGGAAGACGTCACGGAAGGAGAGCGCACGTCCAGGGTCGGCCTGGGCGCGACTGGGCAGGAGTGCAGCGGGAGCCACGCGGCTGCAGCGGTTAGAGACGGCGTCCTGCAGCGTTCTCGGGCAGAACGCAGGGTGGCCGAGTCTCACCCACACGGCCCTCGTGGGGAGACCGCCGACGGGTGGGGACCACACGGCCCTACAGTGAGAGCAGCGGCAGGGGCCAGCTGGGCGCCTCCCCCGGGGCCAGGCTCTGGACGCAGGTTAAGGCCCCCACCCGGATCCTGCCCCCACCCGTCTCCGGACCCCAGGACCAAGCCGCGAGTTCTGTCTCGGCGCCCGCCTCTCACCGTCCATGAGACGGGCAGGGAGCCGCACAGATTCGATGGGATTGCGCTGGGAGAGAAATGGGAATGAGGGGAAAACAGAAGGCGACTCAGAGCTCCGGCGTCTCGAGAAGACCGGCACAGTCGGTGCGGCCAGTGCGCCTGGTGCGCAAGCCGAGGAGAGTGAGTCCTTCTCAGAGACGACAGAACTCCCTCCCACGGGCCTGCAGGGCCAGACGGGTCCTGTCCACCTTCCCATCGTCCCTGGCCTTGGACACAGCACCCCCCATTTAATTTCATTACTTTAAAAAAAAAAACAATGGAAGGAAAAGGGTTTTCAGAATATCTGTGAAGGACACGGACGAAACCAAATGGGGGTGGGATCAGGGGAGGGAAGTGGGGACAACTGTACTTGAAAAACAATTTTAAAAGTTTAAAAAAATCATTCATGGCAAATACTTGTTTTCATCAATGTCTCCATCCCTGGACCGAGAGTTCCCTGGAGACAGGACATGTTTTACATCTTTCATTCCCGTCTCCTGGAACCACGCTCCACACACGGTGAGTGGCGCTGGAGTGACTGCGGAAAGGCCGTATGAGGAACGCTGGGAAAAAATCCACCAGAGCATGGACATATATGTGCATCTATGCTATACGTACCAACTACACACACACACGCACATATACAGACACCCACCCGCTCCGTGTACAAACACAGAGTTTGTCAGGAGTTGTCCCCACAGTGGCTCCCATTCACGTCCAGTCTGTGGGTCACTGGCCTTTCTTCCACGGCACTCCTTCTCACTAGGTGAGGGGCACGGGTTGATGCCTCTTCCTGTTTTGAAGAAGTGAGAAATTTAACTCTGGACTGGGGCTGGGGGTGCACTTGGAGCTGCCCGAGGGGCAGCGCCGCGGACATCCGGAGGGAAGGAGGGGGGGCAGCCCCAGCGTCCCCCTCCCTCCCCGAGGCCCTGGCACCTGCCATCTTCCCACCGCCTTCCTGACCTTCCCTCTCGATTTCAGAATTTTTCCCGAATGACAACCCGACGGAACTCTGATAAAACCACTCTTCTGAAAAACCTCTGTGGGATCCTAAAACACTCAGTTCTTCCCTCCTGGAATCAGAACTTCTGAGTCAAGCAGCTCCCTCTCAAACGACTGATTTCAGCAGCTCATAATTCTCCCGACAGCCGCACCCCGCACACTGGGACGCGCTCCTCACCCGCAGAGTTACTGGGCGCCCTGGGCCAGCCACGCTCTCTCGTCCTTCTTGGCTGAGGCCTAACTGAGCACCCAGTCCCATCCCTGCCAGCACAGCCCTCACACAACAGCTGGGACACAGAGGAATCAGTGAGCAGACCGTCAAGGGGTGACGTCCCTCTGTGGCTTGTCCCTGAGTGAGCGACCCAGGACACACAACGAGGTTCTACCCAAAAAATCAGCTTCTCCTCGACACGGCCTCTCAACTGACACAGCGCCAGTATTAAAGCCGAGGGCACAGAACACCGCACACCAGGTACTGTCTGTTACTGGCCGGGGAACTAACGGACTTGTCCCGTCCCTGTGTTTTTTTCCCTGCATCTCCCTCGTCGCACAACAGGCGAGAGCTAAAACATTGCCACCAAACCCCACGGTGTCCTCTCTGCATGGTGACCTCCATTTCAGCAGCGTGCAGTTTTCTCAGCAACGTTCAACTTGCTCGGGGACAGACGGATGCCCACACTCCACACCCCGGCCCTCCATCCTGGCCCTGCGCTGTGCAGTAGGCAAACCCTCGCCTCACGTGTCGGTCGGCTCTGGGAGCCGCAGCGGAGCCAATTCCAGCTCAGGCTCACCGATACGAGCGAGAGCGAAGCCCCTGCAGCTTCTCCCCAGTGTTGTGAGGACAACACTGCAGAAGGCGGCGGTATGTGAGGAACCCCGTCCTGGGTCTCAGTGGCACAAGGACGAGGCTACACAAACCCCCGGAGGTGCTCGCTGTTTTCGGCTGTCCACATATGAGCTCTCTCTGCGCCACCCTGCTCAGCGTCTCGAAGGGTCACCTTCTCCACCAATCACCAGTGCCTTACACCTGGAGGGTGCTCAACACTTGCTGTGTCCGGCCTCATCACAGAATACTGAGTACCAGACACGTTCAAGGCCAACAGGGTTCTCAAGCCCCACATTTTGATTCCATGGGCTTTCACAATGTGTCCCGTGACTACGATGCTACGGTCCCCGAGGAGCAAAGAGTCACCAGAAGCCACAGGGTTATACAGGGGCGGGCAAAGCAGGGTTACAGTTGTGAGTATGCAAAACAGAGTCTATCCTTGTATTATTTAATCATTACTGTAATAATTACTTGTGTTACTTGTAAACCTACAAGTAATTATTTGTTAGCCTACCCCTGTGTTAAAATATTTAACCTGAAGAACCATTCTTTCAAAAATTTTACATGGAAAATTATTCTACTGCAAGAAGTCTCACATTTTATCCCTTCTGTAGTTGAAATGACAAAACCAAGTATTTTTAAAGAAAATCTGAAGTTATCAACCAAGGCTGATTTTAAATAGTAGCATGACGCAAGGCAAAGGTCGCTGCAAGGCAGACCGGCAGAGTCCAGCTGTCCTAGACACAGCGGCCTGCACCCGCACCTGGGGAGATCAGCAAATAAAAGATGAGGTGAAAATAAGAGGACCTTGAGCACTATGAAAATGGCTTCGAGTCTGAGCTTCAACTCTATCACGTTAAAAACAGGTCACGGTTCGAATGCGCTTTCAGGAACAACAGGGGAAGGGCGACGTCACAAAGTGATTAAAGAAGAGAGGAGAGAACTTTCTTCTACGTCATTAACTCGCCGACAGGCTACCGAACGCGGAGCGCTCACCATTCTCCCCCGCCATTTGAGAGTGCAGCAGGCTCGCTGGAAGGGCGATTTCTTTGTTAACCCATTTGCACGGGTGAAGACCCCGGCTGACATGAAACACGGCCCCAAAACCCCGGACGGACAGCACAACGACAGACTGAGAGATGGATGGTTTGGGGAACAGCCTAGCCAATAAATGTGCTCGGCCGGCAAAGAACCCACTGGCTGAGATTTATGATCAGAACAAATACATTCTAAAAAGATTCGATACAATGAAACCTGCAGCATAAATACAAACTACTCTAAAATAAGGTCTGTTGCCCTGCATAATATAAAGCTTATTTTTCTATAATTAAATTCTCTACGTATTTTTCAGTCAAGAATAAATTTTTGAACAAGTAAAACCAAAGAAGCAGAGTTTCTGAAACGGCACCAATAGTGTAGCTCTTTAATTCACACAAAAGAAGAAGTTTATATTACTTGGAACTCGCCAACAACCTCTGAAACAAACAAAGACAAGGAAGTGTTTCTAAGAAGTGTATTATCAAGAGAAAAGGTAAAAATGAATCCCCCGTAACAAATCACTGTTTTAATGACATGTAACACATTCATGCCAAATTAGGAGCAGGTAAAGCCAGACATAGAAAGGACTTAAAGTGTCCTACCTCCAAGCTCTTTGACGTTCAGGACGGCATTCTGGAACGGCACGGCTTTGATGCTGAAGCCTGCGGTCAGAGCACACGGAGAGGGAGAGTCAGTGACAACTCTACAAAGCGCAGATGTTCGGACCCTCTTGTTCAGGCAGACAGACCACGGGTTACTTCTCTGAGCTCACATTTGTTCCAGAAACACAGAGTTTCCAAGATGTATTGATGATCTGATTTTATCTGCAACTGGTTTTCAAAGCACAGCTGTGTTTTACAGCAAAATACAACCCTTTGCTTCAAAATGCTGTCTTATTCTTTAATATATAATGCCTCTTTGAGAATTTTATTATTAATTGTAAGAAAAACACTTGGAAATATAAACTTCAAAGAAAATATTAGATCTACTGGGACCTTTGCATCGAACAAATTCCTAACAGTAATTCTCTCTCACAAGTAACTTAGCAACCCTAGAGACTAAGGTATCTAAATATAACCATCTTACATTGGAACTGCATCACATTCACGCTAGTTTTCTTTTAAGGACGTGGTTAGTGTCATGAATACATTTTTCTTAAAAGCAGAATCATAACTATTTATTCAAGGCAATTATTTTATAATGCATGCAATAAATGACTTCCATTATAAAATGCATTCAGAGTGCAGTTTTATGATCAACTATATATGTAGGACTTGTATTCAGCACTTAAGTCAACTCGGCTGTGACACATGTGAGCGTGTGCACACCCACACACGACACACACACGCACACGGAAGCCAGTGCCCACACCCGGAACTCACGGCCCTGGGACAGCTGGCAGTCTGGGGGGTCCAACAGGACCGGGGTCGCTCCCCACACAAGCACCTCTTGTTCAGTTAGGAGCCCTGCTCATTTTGAAAAGTTACCCAGCGGTTTTTCTGAACACCCAAACCATGTAAGATTTTAAGCATGGTGCAGTATGTGCAATTACAAGACAGATTAAATGCAATTGCTTTTTTGAGAAACTACCCACAGAGCGAAAAGGAAGACACAGAAATGCTTCCTGTGGGAAGCAGGTCCCGCGGGCGCCCGGGAAGTGGAGTGGAGTCGGGGGGACCGCAGGGTGGCCGTGCCTTCACCAGCCACGCTTCATCGCATCACGGCGACATTCGGAGCCTAAAAACCAGTGAAGCTGGTTAGGGGAAACACACACACACAGGCCAATGAACGCATTGATGCCTTCTCTCCACTGTCTGTAAATAATCCAGCACCAGGAGCCACACGGAGGGCTCCCAGGCCTGCAGTGCGTTGCCCTCGGGTGAATGGAACGGGAACCACAGCGTGGGGTCGGGAAGTGCTTTCTGACAGACGGTGTTGATGAGAGCAAGAACCGAAGCGGGAGGGGCATGCCCGCCGACGCCGCCACGACAGCCCCGAGCACACCCACCCCCCCGCACAGGCAGCGGCCCTGCTGCTCGTGCAGCAGGTCAGTGGGCTGGCGGCACTGTCCCAGCGGTGCTGGCCCGGGCTCCTCCACTCACCAGTCTAAGATCCGGGCCTTGGTCTTGAACCCCTCGTCCGCACACTTGGTGGACTAGGTTAGCTCCCTACGGTTTCACCTAACACCGGGATTCCACAATTTTTATTAAACAAGAAGAAAATACCAGTAACAAGCGAGTCCATCATCAACTCACTTTTTCCTGGCCCGCCTCCCCGCGCGAGCAAGGGGGAAGCCTCCCCTAAGAGTTAATGCCACACATTTTAATCAGTAGGTGACTTAGTGCTCTTTGGGGAAATACTTGTTGGCACAGACTTTCAGTTTTCATCTTTTCATCCTTAAATCCAACAAAACCCGTGATATAGGAGACGTAGATTTGGAATTTTTAAGGCAGGGAAAGCATTTTTGGATTTGCAACAAAATTAGTTTTAGGCGGGAGGCTAGTCTATTTTTAGTCTGTGTGTGGAACACGTGAATATTTCACTTGGACCGACAGACCAGCCTCCCTCCCCCCACCCCTACCCCTCCCGCCACATGCATGTGCACACAGGTCGTAGGCGTGTGCTTCTGCGGTCCTGGGGCGCTCCGTGAGCCAGCGAAGGGAGGGCCAGTCCCGGGTCTGGTGGCCTCGACCTGGACCGAGGGCATGATTTATGGCCATTCTGTAACATTTGGACGATGGCCCAGTGAAATCCCTCTGAATACGATTTCAATATCATAAGAGGAAATCTAATCCAGTGGCATTTATAAAATAACGGTCCTGTAGCAGACACCAAAATGTCACTTTCTAATCTTTCTCTTATTTGACCTAACACTATGCAGCTAATAGTGAAGTTGTTACAATGCCTCATTCAAATTTTCCTGAAATTTTTCTGTATTTCTTTCAAATTGTCATGATCTTTTCTAACTAAACAATGCTACTTGACCTGTTTGCAAGTGCAGTAATATATGTCCCTAAACGATATTTTCAACCATTTTCAATTCCAAGTGCTGCCTTTTCTTTAGGTGGTTTTCCATGTCACGTTGATATATGACTGAAGCCTTTAGGCCCGGTTCCTCTGGTTTAAAAAGGAAAAAGAGGGAATATTTGTGTAATCCACGGGTTAACAAGCCCTTTTATCAACAAACTCCAGGGCCGTTACCGCCCGGGAACACGCTCTGCACAGAGTTCACTTCTGTTTCCAGACCGAGACGCGAGCTGCCCGTGGACTCTTCCCTCCCCGCAGGCCCTGCTGGCTCTCTGGAGGATTTCTGGGCTCTTTGAGTTTTGACAATTTAAGTACCTTTTTAAAATGATGTCAAAGGGAAAAGACGGCTGAAGTTTACAATCCAATAAAGTTTAGATTCCCTGTCCTTCTGAAGAAAAGGCAGACCTTCTCTCCTGGCTGCCTTCGGACGGATGTGCCCTTTTGGGGGGTGTTTTCGTTTTAAGAAACCAGTTTCCAAGGTAGATTCTCTTCTCAACGACTCCAAACTCTTCCAACAAATACGGCGTTTCTAATTGGCTTGGTATCACCGTAACATTATAGATATGTCATTTTAAAGAGTGAAATGTCATATAATTTGGCAATAGCAACAAAGCATATTATTGTTTTGACATGTTCTTTTATAGTTTTCTATTCAAAACTATACTCCTACATGCTTGAATTTTGCAAATAAATGTAAATTTAATTCTCCTCTATTGAAGACCAGAAAGATTATAAATTGGACAATAAATTCAATTGAGGTACCACAATTTAATTAACAAACTCCCTTGCTATAGGACGTTTAAATTACTTCAAAGTTTTAATAATACAAAATGTTGCAAGTAATGCAAAGAGTGTGCATAGTTTCTCTGAAATTACATGTTCAAAGTCAATTATCAGGGGCCCAATTATTGTAGTAGGTCAACAATGTGGCTGTTGTGGTAACCTCTGCCTTCCATGAAGAGTAGCTTTCCAGGAAAAGGGGCCCTCCTCAGTCACCACGCCAGCAGTGAGGCATGCCCCCACGGCCCCAGGAGCCCTGGGTCGCGCCATAAAGAAACACAAGTGAGTAAATTCAGGTATCAAATTAACACTTTCTTGTCTATTCTCTAGTAAAGTTGAGTTTGGGGCAACATTAAACCTTTTCCATTTATGTGTCTGCCATTCATTCTTTTTATGAGTTATCTTTCTGTGGACTTCACTAGTTTATCAATCAGATTCTAGATACCCTTTGTGCATATGATTGAATTCTCCAGGTGGGCTAGCCATCAGCTCTCATCTGATGCACACATTTCTCAACAGTGTTTGTCTTGGGTCTAGCCTTCTAGTAGTTCTACCTTTGTGTGAAGTTAAGGTCCGTGATCTTTGCCTTTCTAGTTATTCTGCTCAGGCCCCTGTGCTTCTTTTCCCACCTTCCACACTGAGTGCTCCATATGGGTGTGGCTGTCTGACATCCTGGTGTCTTCTCCTAGTTACCTTTTCGTGGCATTTGTCCTTGTCATTCCACCTCCTTTGTTCTTCTCCAGTCCATCCCCGCCCCCCCACACACACAGGCCCCTGCTCTGACACCGAAAGAACCCAGAAGTCTCTCTGAGCATGCCAGCAATACCTATGGGAACTCCGGCGCCTGCCTGGTCCTCCCTGCCGCCCACCCTCCGCGCCTCTCTGATGTCCCTGATATCTGCAACTTCTCACCCTCCGTCTACAGATACGGTGCACGCACAACAAGCATTCACCCTCCTTCTCTCCTCCGTCCCAACTCTGCCCTGCCATTGTCACACACAATGAACAATGTATCCTTCAAGGAATGAGTTTCGGGTGGAAGGCTCATCCATTTTTGTCTTTGTGCGGAACACATGTATATGGCACTAGGCCCTGTGGACCAGCCTCCCAGGGACCCCAACGCACATCCATGTACGTTGTCAAGTTCACTGGCATGAAGTTGTTCATATATTCTATTACCCTTTTAGTGTTCATAGGATTTATATCAACATAACCTCTCCTCAATCCTGATACTGTTAATCGGTGCCTTCTTTGATTCTGTTTCCTGATCAATTTGGCTAGACTTTTATGATTTTATCGATCTTCTCAAAGAACCAGCTTTTCATTCGAATAATTTTTTCTATTATTTTTCTATTTCACTGACTTCTACTTTCATCTTCATTGCTTTTTCCTTCTTACTTCAGGTGAAATCCATTCTCCTCTCTTTGCTCCTTATGGCGACAGCCGCAGCAGCCATGGCCCGAGACCCTTCTTTTCACATGTCGGTGTGCAGTGCTGCACGACTTCCCCCAAGCCTCACTATGGAGGCATCTGACATGTTCCATACATGGTACTTCCACTCAGTGCAAAATGAGCTGTAACTTCCCTTTGGGCATCATCTTTGGTCCGTGGCTTATTGAGAAGTAATTTAGTTTCTAAATATTTGAGGATTTTTCCAGAGATCTTGTTAGTGATTTCTAGTTCAATTCCACTGTGGTCTGAGAACATCTTTAGTATTAATTAAATTCTTTTAAACATAATGAGGCTTGTTTTATGCTCTGTTAAATTCCATACGCACACTTCAGAAGAATGTCCTATATGTTGTTGGGTGGAATGTTCTAGAAATGTTAATCAGGTCGACATGACTGATTGTCTT